GAAACTTTTTTAATGTTTTGCAATGTAAGTGCGCGTGCGAGTGTGTGTGTGTGTGTGTGTGTGTGTGTGTTTTATTGCATGAGTACTATAAGTTATGTCTTGATTCCCTTCATGTAAGAATTAAAGTCTATGTAAAACTTAGCCTTAGTTCCAAAGAGTTGAACGACCTGAGTACGATAATATGTCTTGCATAGGTCGACGATTACATCAACGGCAAACGGACCTTGGGCGAGAACATCGCCGATAATGGCGGCCTTCGCGAGGCCGTCGTTGCTTACGAAAGATGGAAGACTCGGCACGGTCGGGAACCGCTACTTCCGGGATTCACGCAGTTTACGCATGAGCAGTTACTTTTTCTTTCTTTCGCGCATGTAAGTCAACATTCCAAAGTTACGACATAATAGTTAGGCTCCAATCAACATATTTAGACGTGTCTAAGTTAAAATCCTTCAGTTTTATGAAGTTTCCGAACGTAAAACAGAAATGACCAAAGTTAATTTTTTATTTAGCAAAAGAAATTAGTAAAACAGTTTTGAGTGATTAAAAAAAATATTTACTATTTTATGTATGCCAATTTTTACATTCTCCTCGGAGTTTTACACTTGAGGCAAAAAAAATAGATTCTAAATTTGGCGAGGAATTTAATGATAAAAATAGTTGTTTTTCTTAAACAGTGGAGTAAGGCAAATACGCTGGGAATTCCCGGACCTGTTTGACTCATTTACATTATGGAATATATTTTTAAATCGTATAACTCTGAGGTGATTCAGTAACCATCGGTTTATATTATCGAACGAAATTTATGTTCGCTTGTTTTTTCTCATTTGCTACTGTAGAAGAATCGAATGGAAACCCGCTTCACAACGGGCAACCTTGGCTGAAAGATAGCGTTCATTTATATACCGATTTGGTCATTCGAGATAAATGAAAGTTGAAGACGGCGAGATCAAGCAGTAAATTTCAATCGGTATTCAATATAATAGCAATAAAGTGTGATTGCTATTTAGTATCTATGGCTTGCCTGAATCCCATTAATTTCGTTTCGATTTCGTTAATTAGTCTATATTTAGAGTCTATATTACTCTTCCTCTATACAATAGTTATATGGCACGTAACATGAAAGCCTTTCCACTTTCCGTTAATTATCTTCTCTTTATTAAACTTAAATTATTAAATTCTTCATCAAAATTGTCTCTAATACTGTCGAAGTTGTGGATAAATGTTTATTGGATTACTTCACTATTGTAGTTGTGGTGCGAATCTTATACTGCTACATCACTGAAGTGGATGCTAGAAGATTCTCATTGCCCCGGTCACGTCAGACTTCAAGCTGTACTAAAAAATTCCAAGGAATTTAGCGCCACGTGGAATTGTCCCGCAGGATCGAACATGAACCCGTCGAGAAAGTGTCACGTGTGGTAACAACTGCGTCTTCAACTGATCAAAATACAAAGTTTGTTATTTAATATCGTTGATCAATCAAATGTTTATTATTTTGTGATCTGGAGTCAGTAAAGCTCACGTGCAAAGCGATAATAATCCAGCGTTAAATTAAAACAATTAATTTTTCATCTCGTGAGACTCAAAATTACAATAATGTAAGAACAATATTTAACAGATGTATAAGAATTTTTGTACTCTCTCTATTTCTATTTTTAATCTAAATTAATGAAAATTAATATAAACCTGCAGAGTTTTGTGTATGAATTGCAATCGTCTTGATTATTATTATTCGTTCGTTACATAGTACTCGATGAATTGTTTCTATGCAATTTTCGTAAGACCGTTTGCACTAATACGCTGGGAACACCCTGCCATCATCGAGAAATCAAAGAGTGATCGAATAATGTTTGTAATAAAAGAGCTTTATTTACATACAAAATATATTCTCTAACTCCTGTAATCCTTTTGATCTTCGTGACATCTCTCCAATATTTAAATGTCCACAAATGTCCAATTGTATAGAATTTAAAATTTTACAAGTATACCATACATTTTTAAATTATTAAGGTAATGACGTATAATTTTGCTTATATATGGCGATACTTATTCATATCGGTTTCTAATAAAGATAGAACGTTAGATTAATAAATAAATATTTTGCAATTTTGGCTTTATTAGTCTGGCAAAACGTTTCGTAGAAAGGAAATATATATTAAAAAAAAATTATGTAAGAAAAAGTTGAAAGGGAATACAAAATAGAAATTTTGGGAAGTTGTTTTATTTAAATATTAAGTACAATTATAAACTATTTATACCTCAGATGCCCTTATAAAAGCTTATAAAAATTAAATAGATATATGCTTTTGAAAAATTTAAACAAAAAATTGTCGAGGATAGCTGAAGATTCTTCTAAGAAATTATTCAAAACACCGATCTTAAAAATCGAGTGTGTCTTGTGGAAGTTTACGTTAAAAAATTAATTTTTATTATTACCATCAGTGTTCGATCGTCCATGAGAATTGTGGCATGAAAAAAGTTTCACAGAAATATATAATCTATATAATATTATTGCACCGTAAAAATATACATGCTTACTTATTAAGCATAAAGTCTAAATTTTGAATTTAATACTTTATCATAGGTTCATTGTGCAGGTATTTACATTGACAATAGAAAACGTTGAATCAATAATTAATCAATATTATTTATATTCTTTAATTACTACCAAAACCACTTGATAAACATAAACGTTTATTCGGGAATGGCCGTCTTTAGTAATACCTCATTGCTTAAAAGAAGAAGATGTTCTTTCAAACAGCTTCGATTTAATGTATGAGCATCATCAGGAAAGTAACTAAGTATGCAAGTTTTCAAACATTCTCCTCTTATGTATTCAAGAGTTCAATTAATAAAAAAGTACTGTTATAAAGGAAAAAAAAGGGCAAACAAACTTTCCAATTTCAATTTGACACGTCAGAAATAAGGAGTGATCTTTCGGCGTAATATGTATTATTCCACTAATAAATTCCAGTAGCCTATTCAACGTCCATTACAAGATATGTATCCTAGTATACGTAGCCACCGTCCCAGTGAGAAATGATTCGTCGATCGACGTCGATACGATGTCGAATCGATGTCAATTCGACGGTGTCGATGTCATATAATTATACGTAAATACATAAAAATTTCTAAGTATGTTATGTTGAATAATTAAAAATATTTTTCAATAGAGGGAATATATGAAAAATTGGTAAAATAAATTCGTACGGAGTTAATTTTTTTATATTGCACGTTTGAATCTTTCTATATTATGTCAAGGAAAAAAAATTCTTTATTTTTCCTAAACTGAAATACACATTTAGAATTTACAACAAAAGGAACCTCTATTTAATTCATTTTTTATTACTCTCTCTGGAGTTTCTCGATTTATCCCCGACACGTGCGTAAACTATCGTACTCGATGATACCGAAGGGGTAGAAGGCTCGCCATCGATGGAAGATACCCGGTGCTACCCATTTTTCGCAGGCGTGTGGGTGTTATCGCGCGGATGATCGGATGGGAAAATGGACGTTCGGTCGCCGTTGTTATTGGTTCGACGACGAGGTACGAGAACCACTGCAGGGATAATGTGAACGTATGGACACCCGACGTTGTCTGTCCGGCTCGACTCGGTGTTCAGTGTCGTCAGTTTGATCCGGTCAGTGGGCCATTCAGCATGAACAACGAGCGCAGTAAGTTATATTTTTACACGCTAGCTTGTCTACCTGACTTTTCTTTTCCGGTGCACCGCATACGGGTGTGTCCTAATACCCGTATGTCCCGTAGATGGTAGATAGACCGGGGCAAACTGAATAGAAAAGTCCTATACCATTTTGCAAAATTCGCAATAGTTTTCGAGAAATTAATTTTAATGTCTGAGCGAATGAAAGCGTAGAAGGCTGCAGGCCGGACTCGGCAGGCAACGGTGGGGCATCATCTAATAGCGAGAGGTGGAGCGGCGCGCCGAAAAAGTTGTTC